GGCGTTGGTATCGGTTTTAGAATGTGTTTGTGACAAACTAAAAAATGATTACTTTATGAAAAAAAACAAAAAGATGATGATTACTATAAAATCAACACTAATGAGAGAATTTGTATATTTCAGCATGAAAATCATTTTCTCAATATTTAACATATGCTTAGATTTTATGATTAACAAGAAAATGTAATGTAATAGTAATTGTGTATGTTGCATGACGAACCAAATTTAAATTAACGTAATGCATCTTGTTCGAAAATTTATAACTTGTCTTATGAACATTGACCAGAGCCTATAATATTTTCTTACTATACTATTAAGCCGACCCTAATAGCTAGTTACACACATTTCATCAACAAACATAATACGTACAACAAGTGATACGTCAAAATAGTATATGTCTATATACTAGCATTACACAAACACATATCGAAACTCGTATATATATCAAATCCATCAAGAAGGTAACACTAATCAAAACAAACTGAATGAGAAGAAGAATCAAGAACCAAAAAGCTCGTATAAGAAGAAAAAACGATCCACGAAATCAGATGAAAAAAAAAAAAAAATTGGTACAACGTTGCATTAATCGAACAAGGGAAAACCTCTGATTGATTTAGCAGGTTTCGATCAAGTTGCTTCAGAGGACAATATCTCAAGCTCTGCCCACCAAAGAGGAGATGATCTTGGAGTAGCTTTCTCTGGAGTTATGTTAAGTACTTGTTTTAATTGTTCTGCTACATCTTTCATCGAAGGTCGATGTCTTTGCTCGGTTTTCAGACATTCTCGTATCACATCGCAGATCACTTCAAGCTCTTCTTCTTTGAATGTCTTTAACGATGGATCTATCATTTCTCCTAAGTCGTCGTTCTCCAGATAATTTGATGCCTGAAATATTGACAAGAATCGTTAACATACGGATAATATCCTCTGTTTTTTCGGAATAGAAAGCGATGTTAATGCTTACCCATTGTTCGATAGATCCATATTCGTCTGAAAATGAGAGCTTTCCGGAGATTATTTCAAGCATTAAGACTCCAAAGCTATGGACGTTAGTCTCTGGTTCTGGAGGTAGTAGCAATGACGCTTGCTCTAAGTCACCACTCACTTGTTTTTTCGGGTTTAGTCTCGCCTCTAAGTTGAATGGAATCTCCGAGACCTGGAAATTTGGTTAAACAAAAATCCTTTTAGTGGCTTAAAGACAACATCTTCCTAACACCTTGAGAGGTTGCTTAAAATTAAAGCCTTTAAAACATTTTCAGAGGTTCTTGGACAAACCTTAGCCGCATAGTCATCGGTTAGGTAGATTTCCGATGAGTTGAAGTCCGAATGTGCCATAGGCGGGTTCATCTCGTGCATATGTTGTAGACAATAAGCAGTTCCCATTATGATTCTTATCCGTGCGCTCCAATCAAGATGCTCCATCTCCTTATCTGATAAGCGGAAAACGTTATTAAACCGAGAGAGTGAAGCCAAAAGAACATCGTGAGAGACCAAGATCAATGTTTTTTTACCGTGCAAATGTTCAAAAAGGGTTCCATTTGGAGCATATTCAAAGACCATCATCCTATTAAAAGGGTCATCTTCTTCACAGTATCCAATCAGATTCACAAAGTTCTTATGGTTGATCCGTGACAATGTATCAATCTACGAAAAAGACATACACTTACTTCAATTCAAAAGGATATTTATAATGATAAGACTATTAAGCTGAGTTTTCGAGTCTAAACCTTTCTACGGTATGCCATTTCCATGGCTCTTGTCCATTCTTTAGATTCAGAAATCGAGGTTGAAGCCACAGCTATCTCAACACCACTAGACAAAGTTCCTTTATAGACAGTGTAACCATCAAAAGCCTCGATAATATTGCTGAAGTCCTCACACGCTGTTTCTAGCTCAGACCGATTTAGCTTCGGTACCCCTAAAACATTTTAAAAATGTTTTCAGTTTCGATGTTAATGTTCCCAAAAGAAAACAGAGTAAAAATGGAAACCGTGGGAAGAAGATTTTACCGGTAACAAAAGCCTTCTGCAATTGTCCACTAAGACCAGTTTTCCAAGGACCTATGCTTTTAACAGCTCTTTTCCGGCAGAAGAAGATAACCGCTACTATAATCAGTAAACCGACAAAAGAAGCAACCGCAATAACCACATACAACCATACATGTTTTGATCCATTTGACTGTTTATTATCTTGTGGCTGATTCTTTGAGGGATCAGAACTATTGCTCTGAGGAGAAGGTAAAGGAGGGACTAAAGGCGATATTCTCTTCTTTGCATTAGTTACTGCAGGGAAAGATCCGCTGCTTCGAGGGAACGCTTCAGTTATAATTCCGGGAGAAGGACTAGGAGCGGAAGGAGCAGGCTCGGCTGCCAAATTACTTGTTTCCTCGAGTAACTTACGTCGTTTGAAGATATCAGTTTCCTCCAATAAACCTGCAAGAACAAGATTGAGATCTTCAAGAACTAATCTTTAGTTTCCACGCTAAAAATGCTGAAACCGATTTGTTTTGGCTTACTCGGGAATGCTTTCAAGAAACGTCTGGAGGTTGCTTTTATCCGGAACACAATAGCTTCTATCTTTTTTACTCGAATGATACGGTTTCTTGAAACACTGTCAAGAGACACATGAACGGCGAAGAAGATGAGTTACCGGAAAAAAAACTCTTGGGTGTTAGATGAACCAGATTCAGAATGTTACCGAGCTTACCAATCTCCAAATTTTCTATTTTCACAGCCAAGAACAGACAAAGGAGATAGCTTTGCGTTCTTGTTTAACCGGACTTCATACATCGATTGAAGTCTCAAGACCTTTATTCTCTTATCACCCGAAAATTTGTTACCAGAAAGCAACCTGGATCACTCCCACAAAGTCACAATCAAATGAAATAAATTTAACACTGTTTTCAATACATATTTGTTAAGCACTGAACATTAGAAATGTTTAACTCACAAGTGTTTTAGCGATAAGTCATTGCTTAGCTCGGATGGAATTTGTCCGCTCAAATCATTATCTCTCAAATCCAAGACTTCCAGCTTCCGGAATGCCCCAAACTCCTTTGGAATTCCACCAGAGAAATGGTTCTTGGAGAGTATTCTGTAAGAACAAGAACCAATTTAGTCCATAAACCAACCAAAAGCCGAAAAAACCAAAGTTTGAATCATCAAAGAGAAGCAGTAGAGATCCTCACAGATATCTTAGTTCACTCAATTGGCTAAGCTCAGGAGCTAATGTTCCTTCCAAAGAACATCCACTAAGATCCCTATAGAAACACACATAAAGATCACAAAAATCAAACTTGATTAGAATATAGAGACACTAATGCTCTCATCTTGATATAGCTTAATGAATGTAACAGAGAAACTTACAGAATCTGCACTTTACCGTCAACACAAGTTACTCCTGACCAGGAGCAAATATCATTACCAGAAACATGATTCCAATTTGCAAGAGTTCCATGAGGATCCGAGTTCACTCTTTCCCGGAATTTCAACAATGCAAATCCTAAGATTCATCAAAACACTAAGAATCAAAAACCCTAAAAAAGAAACCATTAAAACAAGAATAAGAAGAAAGGATTTATAAAAATCTAACCTTGTGAATTGATGGACAATGAGAGAAGAGGAGCTTGAAGGATAACAATGATCAAGAAGATGACGCAAGAGAAGAAGTAACCCATTATTTTTTTTTTACACAAACACTATATACTAATTTTTTCCTAATTACAAATAAAACTCCAAAAATAAAAAACCCATTTCCCCAGAAACAAAGCAACAAACTCTCTCTTCTAATGAAACCAAGAAAAAAAAATGATATTTCTATATATTACAATTTACAAACAGAAGAAAAAATCTTTGATATCGGGGTCCTTCATCATTTTCAAGTTTTGAAAATCAATCTCACAAAACCCTTTCGATCACAGTGTTCATCCCCTGTGATCTAACACCTCCTTGATCAGTCTCTTGATATATCTAAAAAAAGATGGAAAAAAAAAACCAAATTTTAGATGAAAATTATGAACAATAATTACGAAAAAGAGATAGCCTATCGAAGAAGCAATGTATAGAATACCCAAAACAAAGGGAAAACGATGATGTTTTCTTCATCTTTATTTGATGAATATTGCAAATTACGTAAAGGTATCAAACAAATGATTGGAAAAACTTACTGTACAAAAGGAATTATGTATTATTATGGTTCTTGGAGAAAAACAAGAAAAATGATGAAACCAAGAGAATGTTTGGTTGGGGGATTAAGAAAAATCAAAATATCCCAAGAAATCGGTGATAAATTATAAAAACAAACAAAAAGATCCAATTTTTTAAGACAATAAAAATCGATTCTC